CAGAGGATGAGATGGTTGAATGGCATCACTGACTCAATCGACATGAGTTTGAGTAAACTCTGGGAGTTGGTGATGGACAAGGAGGCCTGGCGTGCTGCAGTCTGTGAGGTCACAGTCTGACACGGCTGAGCGACTGAACTGAACTGAGCACAACAACAGGTGACCAGAAGGGGGAGCTCTCACACCCTACCACTAGATTTTAATTGTCCACCTGGAAATTACTTTTGTATCTCCAGCAGGGAGAAGGTAAAATAACTGGCTGTTTTATTGTTTTAGATGAATAGTTGTCAGATTTTCATCAGTTTGCATGTGGGCAGTGATGATTTGTAATCCCAGGGGATCTTCCCAACCCAGGAGTGGAACCCAGGTCTGCTGCATTGCAGGCAGATTCTTCACCATCTGAGCCAGCAGGGAAACCTGACTAGGTCTGATCCCATACCAAAATTATATTGTTTTGTTTTAAAGCTGCATTAAAAAATATATATTTATTTATTTGACTGTGCCAGGCCTTGCCTGTGGCATGTGGGATTGTTTGATCTTTCGTTGTGGCGTGTAGGATCTAGTTCCTCAACCAGGGATCAAACCCAGGCCCCCTGCACTTGAAGTATGGATTGTTAGCCATTGGATCACCAGGGAAGCCCCCTAAAATATATTGTTAATACCTGTTAAGTAACTTGGTTTTAAGGACTGCTCTGTAAATAGAGAAAAGTGCAGGAAATACAGAAAGAAATAATATGGGAGTCTTCAGGAGAAGAAGAAATATTTGGGTGGATTTCTTGTTTTTTTGTGTGTCATTCGCTATTAATAAATAATAGCAAATATAATCAGTTTATTTTAGCCTGTTTTTGATGTGCCTGTTTTGGGTAAAGTGTGAAAAGTTTTGATTAAGTAACAGTCTACTAAAGAGAGAAGAAAGTGCAGTGCTAGTTTTGTGCCTTTGGATGAAAACAGGTGTGATGGGATTGATTTAACTGATTCCTCTACTTGGTAGAGGAATTCACTTATATTGAGTATGTGCTAGGAGCCAGGTTATTTAATATTACTTAATCTTTACAACTTTGCAAGGTGTTGGTTTAAATTAGTTCTGTTTTTAAATGAGAAAATTGAAACAAAAAGAGATTTAAGAAACTTGCCCAGGTCACTAGTAAGTGCTGAGCAGAGATTAAAACCGAAGGTTTTCCTGATTTCAGAGTTAGGAAAATTATCATCATGTTATGTATTAAGTTTATGTAGCTTGGAAATTCTTTCCAGCTTACTAAGCAGGATGCAAAAGTAGTGCCTGATTGGTTTGGGGGCTGTTTTTCCTGCTCAAAAAAGATCCAGACTTGACAAGATCCAGAAAAAAAGATCCAGAACTTGACAAGTTCTCAAAGTAGTAATGTTTAGTGAGTGATCTGGCCAAACTGTTTGTGATCCCATTTCTCTCACATGAGTTCAGTCTCCATTATCTTTCAACAGAAAAGCTTAAAGATCTTCCTCAGATAGTGATTTTGTTCTTAACAATGCAGAGATATTTTTAAAAATTGTATTCAGAGGAGAAGCCTACTTAGCCAATTTGAAATATTGTTACCTTGTTTCTAAACTTACATTGTAGACTTACTCTAATACAACTTGTGTTGTATGTTTTGCTCAACAGTTATGTTTCCTGGTGGGCATTTTTAGCATTTTCTTATACTTAATGGTATCAGAGACAGAGGTACCACAATTTAGGTTTTCACCATACAAAGAGGGCTTCCCAGATGGTGCTAGTGGTAAAGAAGCTGCCTGCCAGTGCAGGAGACATAAGAGACATTGGTTCGATCCCTGGGTTGGGAAGATCCCCTGGAGTAGGAAGTGGCAACCCTCACCAGTATCCTTGCCTGGAGAATCCCATGGAGAGAGGAGCCTGGCGGGCTGCAGTCCATAGGGTTGTAAAGAGTCAGACACGACTGAAGTGACTTAGCATGCATGCAGAATATAAAGAACCAGTGTCCTAAATCTGTTATTTGTGAAATGTCTGTCCTGAAGACAGTTCATTTTGATAAATTTCCTAATATACTTATAATTAAAAAAAAAGGAGTTCAACTTGAATTAGATTTAAATGTTTCTCTTTTAATACATTTATTAATGATAGCTTCTCTTTTCATTGGAATGTTGTAGGCCAGCTTTAACATTCTCCATCATAGCTTGTTACAGTTTGTGACTTAGCCATGTGGCAGTGGTATTTGTGTCTTTAGTCATGGAAACCTTTTGTTTTAAACTTCTTCTTTATTTCCTAGAGAATTTTAGTGAAATTTTAAGAAATGTTATCTCTTCCTTTACGAGAAGGTTCAAGTTTAGAAATGGCCTGATGATTTTGTATTTGCTAGGTTGTATGAGTTATAAGTCTTAAAAGTGAATACCGTAGGTAGACTGAAGATTAGGATCATCATATTTAAGGATGACAGTTTTAACCACAGTTAAAATTTAACAATAGCATTTATATTAATAGTATTTATCTTAGGTGTTTTTAAGACAAAGTTCAAAAGTCGTCAAGTTTACTATAAAGTTACTCGATAAATCCAAATATTACCATAATTTTATTAATTGTAGGACTATCTTCTACACTTAACACCTCTAAATTTAGGATGTATTTTAAAAATCGTTGTCTTAGAGTCTGTGAAATACAGAGATTAGGATTTCAGTTCTGTTGCTATAACTGAGAAGTCCAAAATACTAGGGACTTAACGACGGCAAAGTTTCTTTCTCCTGTAAAAGTCCTGGAAGGTAATGCAGGGCTGGCCTCTCCTATTGTGTTACTCATCCTTAGCTATAATTTCTGTCTTTGGTTCACAGTGACTGCTTTCGCATCTGTTACGATGTATTCTAGCCTACAGGCCAGGTGGGACAGGAGAAACTCTTTCCCTTGTTTTTAAGGCTGGTCTTGAAAATTACATGCTTTGTTTCCATCCCCATTTGCTTGAACTTGGTCACATCTAACTGCACAAGAATTTAGGAAATGTCTTTACTAGGAGCCATATGTGCCAGTAAAATTCTTTTACTAAAGAAGAGAGGAGCAATTGCTAGTAGTCTCTGCTACCCTGCTCAAACCTTACTTTCTGGCCAGTGTTTATGATTAAACTCTATGTAAAATGAAATTACCCATAATGGTCATGAGACATGGAAGATGCAAGAACTGAACTTGAAATTTATTTTTTAGGCATAATTTATTTTTGGGAAGATAATTCTGTAGGATGATCACAAGTCTCTGCTTACCTTTTTTTCCTTCACTCTGAATTGGAAATAAATTTTACAGAAGACCTTGTTTTTAAGCAGTCCCTCGTAGCTCAGCTGGTAAAGAATCTGCTTGCCATGCAGGTAGACCCCGGTTTGATCCCTCGGTTGGGAAGATCCCCTGGAGGAGAACATGGCAACTCACTCCAGTGTTCTTGCCTGGAGAATCCCCATGGATGGAGGAGCCTGGTGGGCTACAGTCCATGGGGTTGTGAAAGAGTCAGACAAGATTGAGCGACTAAGCACAGCACATCCTGTTTTTCAGAGGTGGATTGAGGAACCAGGAGAAGACAGCTATTCCTGTTTTCTCTTCTTGCTTTTATTAATCAGTAGAAGACATTCTTCTTGAGTAATTCTCTAGAATTAATTTAGTACTTGGTGTAGTGTGATTATTTTGATAAATAATTTGATTTAGTTTAGGGGTCAAGACCCTTAACCTAGTGTGAGTATGCTAGTGCGTTGTTCTCTAGTGCATTACAGGGAACAGAGAAAGGTAGAAGGAGGTTACATAAAGAGAAATGCAGTCAAGATGATTGTGATGAAGAACGGAAGAAGGTATATGGTGTGTTACCCATTCCTCATATATATACAGAGATATTAACAGGCCTAAGGTAAGAGTTGCGGAGGTTACTATAGGAGCATATAGACCTGGCATCTAATTCTGTTGTCATTTTTATGTTAATAAGGTGGCATCTCTAGCTAACAAGAAATTGTAATCCCTTCACAATTATAAGAAAAAGAATTTAATCTTAAAAATAGATATATAGGTATTGGTGTTTTTTATTCTTTCAGAAAAACTTAAGATTTTCCAGTGACACTAAGATATCATACATCCCAGTTTCATAGGTGTCAACATATTGCGGTAACATAGCTGGTAACAAGTGTAAGGAACCTTTGGTAAAGATATATTCTGATTTTAGAAACGCTTAAGTATAAAAACAAGCATCTCAGAATTGATAAAATTAATAAATCTTTGGTGTATTTGTAATCAATAGCATCTTAGAATGGAGGACTATAGTAAAAGAAGCTAAAGCAATTGTATCTGCTTATAAGTTAGAATGTTTTAGAGTGATCATTTTCATTTTAAGAGTCTAGATTTTGATCTCTTCATGCCATAAATATTGAATTAGTAGCTTGACACCTTGGTGCTGAAGCAGCCACTGAGGCCAGGGATCACGGTGGTCTTTGTCCAGCTCCTCGTGCCCGTCTGTTGGGCGGGGAGGTGGTTGCGCTCTGCTGCTGGTTGGATATGGCCTGAGGAACCGTTTTAGCTGGGGTGAAGGGAGCATTCTTTGAAGCAGTGGCCTTTGTTTGCAGTCTAGTGCACATATGTGTATACACGCGTGTGGGGGCACATACAACTGAAGGAAAAGTTGCACAAAATAACACTTGACATACTAACAGGGATTCATTCTGAAATAGCCTCTTCTCTTTCATTATGAAAAGAACTGTGCTGCTGTTTATGTTCCTTTTGATTTTTTAAGAAAAACACTTAAGTCAAAAACAACCAAGGATCAGAAACTTAAGAAAATTGACTCTTATTTGCACATCACTGTTTCTCTTTTTTGGTTCTCCTAGCTCTGGTAGTTGAGGTACTGCTTCTGTTATTGCTCTGAATGTGTGAGTCTGTTGCTAATTGAAGAAAAACAAATAATTAAGTACAAATAATTAAGAGAAGTATTTTTAATCTTTTTGTAGGTCATCATCAAATTTGAAATATTTAAAGTGGATACAAAACTGTTTCAGCGATGCAGACAATTAAGTGCGTTGTTGTGGGTGATGGTGCCGTTGGTAAAACGTGTCTCCTGATATCCTACACAACAAACAAATTTCCATCTGAGTATGTACCGACTGTAAGTATAAAGCTTCCATCTGATAGTGAAATGTATTATAATTTGATAGCCTTTTGAAAACTTTCTCTGTGTGTACTGAAATTTTTCTGTTGTCTGCCTTTGTTTCCTGTTTTTAAAGATCTTGACTTCTCATGGGTAAATTATGTACACTTTAAAATTAAACAGCTGAAAAATCAGTGGAAAGTCAGAAGGGGTGACAGAAGGGTTTGCAAGAAGTGCTGGGAGGCAAAACTCCAGTAGACAAGCTTCTAAAGAGTGGTGGTCTCAGTTTGGAGAAGTATGCACTACATCTTGGAATGAGGTGACTTTTTTTGATATCTTGGCCAATGATTAATCAGTGCTTGGAGTTCTTTGGGATGAATTTGGGGGGGCCTTGTAACTTCAGGGAAAGTAGTATGTGTCTACGTATTCTCCTTAGGGAATAGAAGAAAAGCTTATGGAGCTGTTGTCCTCGAAGTAATGGAGCTCCAGACTGGCTTTTAGAGGTAGAGAAGACCTGTTTTTCTTATGAGAACATCAACAGAAGCCTATGGAGTTCTCTTGCACATAATGCTTTGTATCAGCTCCTTAGAAGAGTAGAAGGAAAATCGGGATAACAAAGATCTTGAAGTTGGAGAGAGAGAGAGTTATTTAGAGTAACACTCATTGTGAATGTGTTTGGGGATCCAGTGTTTTGTCCCAGGTTGGTTGACCAATCCAGTGGTATAATTATGTTAAAGATAGATGTCCATTCTGTGGTGAGAGAGGAGCTAGTGTTGGCTTGGCCTGGCAACAACCACCTCTGTTAAGTGAGCTATTTTAGAGGTTACAGAGCACCTGTGTATGATTAATATGGGATTAGTATTGTTTGGAAGTGAAAAGGAAGAAAATCTATGATTACTTCAGATTAATTTTCAGAGATGAGAGTATTTTTAAGAGGGTGGTGACAGGTTAAAGGTTTGGTAATTATGTTTGTAATTAGAAGTCTGTAATGTCCCAGGGCAGATAGTGATTGAGGTAGGCTCAGGCTATAGGAGGAAAAACTAGGGTTTCTTGGAGGGGGAGAAATCATATTTATAAACATGAATATTTTTGAGTTGGCCCATTTGGAGATATTTGGAAGTGAAAGAAGTTCTGAGGTTGAAAGGGACTTTTAGGGGACCTTTAGAGATAGATCAGTTTTGTGGATCTTGAGTGAAGGCTATCAGAATGTCTGTGTTTCAGTTTCCATTTAAAGTTATTTTCATACAAACGTAGTCTGAGTCTAGGTGTTTAAGGAGAGCTTGTGGGTGTTTTATGTATGTGTTTGTGTGTGGATCTCTGGAAAACAGTTAGGTATGACTTAAGAAAATAACCTAAATAGGAGCTTAACTTTATTCTTTTTACTTCCTTGTTCTTGTTGTCAAGAACTGAGTTTCTTTTTAACTGCCACCTCTCCCAAGCCCTTTCTTCTAGTCTACTCTTTTTTTTTTTACATTTAAACAAGCTCCCAACAATCCAGTCCACTAAAACATGAATCAGAGGGTTAGGGTTAAGCAGAGCTGATATTAAAATGTACCATCCTTCTCTTGGCTGGAAAGCCTTGCTTTTTAATTGTAAATAATTAATAATTCAGAGGAGTCCATGAATTAGTGTTGGGTCTTTTTTCATTTTATTCATTTTTTCATTTTTTATTTGTTGGAACTTTGATTTCATTCATTTTCATTTCATTTAGTTACCTCCCATGTTTACAAATTACTTAGTACAAGCTATATATATATATGTATTATATATATTAGTATATACTGAGTTTGTTTGTTATGGGTTTTGCAGTCTATTTACAAGTAGTATACCCTATTCAGTATCCTTAAGTGTACACACACACACACACCTATATATTATCCTTAAGTATACTCAGTTCAAAGAAAGTATCTCAGGTCATGTGGTTTGTACCCAGTAACATGAGTTTTATTCATACAGTCCCAACAGAAGGTCTGCCAGCCTTTTTTGGACACTTTCCTTGCGTGACTTGAGGGAACGTATGTTCTTCTCTAATGGGCCCTGTTTGCAGCAAGGCTGCTCTGTCTTGAACCCTGAAAGGAAAAAGATCATCATGGATCTAGGAGGTTTTAATTCTGTATTAAAAGGAAATGGTCTGTGAAGAATAATTTCTTAGAAATTAGATTGCAGATTTAGGTAAACTTGAAATTATTGTCTGGAAAGTTTCAAATTTGAATTGTATCATTTTGTATAACCCGCGGACTCCACTCCTGCCATACCACTAACCCTTCTGTGGCGTTTTATCTGGGCGACTGGAGTGGAGCAGACATACCAGAATGCATCTTCTGTCACGTTTTTTTTTGAAGAACTGTTAGGTCATGAAAGGGCTTAGATGGCATGGTTGGTCATAGAAGAAATATGGACTGAGAGAGGATTGAGTCTTGGGAAGGAAACTTTGTTTTAGCTTAAGAGTTGTCCTGTCCTGTTTTGACCATCCCCTTGCACACTAACAGTGTCATATTTTTCTGTTTTAGGTTTTTGACAACTATGCTGTCACAGTTATGATTGGTGGAGAGCCATATACTCTTGGACTTTTTGATACTGCAGGTGAAAACTTGATGTCTTTTATAATGTTTTTGTCTGTAACTGTAACACTTGATGGTTGTCTTTTTTGGGACATTTTGGGAAACTAGAGTATTAGCAAACCATTTCCTTTTGTTAATAGCAGGATTGAATATTATGATGGTCGATGCTTGACCAAGCAGCAGTCTCAGACCTGGAATGGCAAATAGGTGTTTGGAGCAGCCTGACGGCATGGCGTGGGAGGAGACCAAGTGGGGTGAGAGCAGGGCGCATGAGACAGGCTCTACTCTCATGCTCGTGTTTGAGGACTTATGCAGTCTTCAGTGTATGTGTCTGTATACTATATATACAGGTAGCTTCTATGCTATCATATTATAGCTTGTTATTTTATATTACATGTGAAAAATTTTTTAAGGCAAACCAGTGTCTAGCTCAGTATTGATATTTGCAGTCAGCTTTTCAAATTTAAGGAACAAATTTCTGCTTTGTTTACAATTTCTCAGTGTTTTTTCCTTATTTTAACAGTAACTGCACATCTTAGTCTCTGACTTCTATTATTTCTGTTATCAGTTCAGTTAGGCAAAAGAAACATTCAGAAATTTGTTTTGGTATGTAGGAATTCTAACCTCTTTGCTTTTTATGAGTTATCCTCTCACTGTCTGCCAGATGATACATTGCTCTTATGGAGTATATCATACTGCCCACTTTGAGGAACTGTCTAGATTTAATTGGGAGAGTGAAATGGTGAGACAGTAGTAAATAGTTAAGTTTAGAGGCTTTCTCATGGTTTGTTAGACCTTGAAATTTTTTATGAATTAAAATTGTAAGAATAATGGTATATTAGAGGAAACTTGGAAGATGGACAGAGTAAGATAATGACCTATATCTCTTGGTTGGTGAAGGATTCTTTTGTGTTTTTGTGTGCCTTCGGAGGCAATCTGTATACAGAGAAAAGACAATTTATGGCTATTTGAGGTGGAAACTTAATTTTAAACTTTATTTTCAAATTTAAGAACTTATTTTTAATAAACCTTTATGTCTTAATCAGAATTTTTTTTAATCTTTTTTGAAGTATAGCACAAGAATTCACTCATTTTAAGTGTTCAGTTTGATTATTTTTGCTGACTATATAGTTGTGGTGGTGTTATTTTTGCTCAGTCTTGCCTGACTCTCTTGCAACCCGATGGACTGTAGCCTGCCAGGTTCCTCTGCCCATGAGATCTTTCCAGGCCAGAATACTGAAGTGGGTTGCCATTTCCTTTTCCAGAGGAGTTTCCTGACCCAGGGATTAGCCCCGCCTGTGACTCCTGCATTGGCAGGCCGATTCTTTACTGCTGAGCCACATGGGAAGCCCGTATAGTTGTGTAACTGCCACAGTGATCAAGACACATCATTCTAAGGCGTTTCCTCTGCCCTTTAGTCAGTCCCTTCCCTTGACCTGGCCCCAGGCAGCTGCAGATCTGCTTTCTCTCAGTGTGGTTTCACTTTTCTGGAATTTAATATCTTTTGGAACCATACGATCTGTAGCCTTTTGTGTTGTACTTCTTTCGCTTAGCATAATTTTTTTGAGGTTCATCTGTTATGTTTATCAATAGTGTGTTCCTTTTGTATTCAGTTTATGAATATAGCACAGTTTGTTTTATCCATTTATCCACCAACAACAAGTTGATGGTTTGGGTTCTGTTTTTAAGCTATGATGGATAATGGTGCTGTGAACATTTATATATTTATATCTTTGTATGGTCACAGCTTGGAAGTGAGTAAGCCTTTATGTTTATTAATAGTTGCACAACTTACTACTTTTTATTAAAATATCTATTTTAACAAATCATTCTTCCAGTTGCCCAGGGTCCTTTGATTAATATTGGTTTATTTAACTTGGGTTGGCCAGACTTTAATCCTAGTCAGCCTCATTTACAACCGTTAAATTTCTTATAGCACTTTAGATTGCGTAAAATACTCAGATTTTATTTTAAGTGATTCAGTTTGCTTGACATGAGAAGTGAAACATTTCCAAGTGTTTATGTATATAACTTGAATAAACCTGATAACTTATGATTTTCTGTATTTGTTTTAATTTATCTTAAACAGTATTATTTACAACTTTCATAAAATTCTTAACATTTTCAATGAAAACACATTTTAAATTGGAATCAAAACTATCATGTTCTTTAACATGGTGATTATTTTAAATATTATAGACACTGAGTGTTAAGTAAGAATAGGTTATTCCTAAATGTAATTGAAAATTAACAATAATAATGTTTGATTTATTTCATTTCTATATTAGATTCTGAATCTTTATAGGGGTTGAAAGACATTTACTAAGGAAAATATTTTATTGTACCGGGCAAGTTGCAGAGTTTTCACCTCAACTGGTTAAGGTCACTGTAAGCCTAAGATCTTTTTTGACAAGTGCTGGAGGCCTGGGATATTAGGCATCTAGATTGAGTCTCCTGTCTTTGATAGACTTGAGGAGACTCTGTATCCTTTTCCAGAGGCCTTAATCTCAGAATCCTGGTTGGAGTCATGTCATTAACTCAGTGTTCTTTCTGCTAAAGCTTTCATCCATGCTCAGATAGCTTCTGATTTCCTTTATTTGTTTGGTTACTCTTAACCTATCGACTGTGTTCTTTTGTTTTGAATTCTTTAATTCATTTATTCTTTTTTTTTAAGAAAAACTTTTTAGAATTGAAGTATAATTAATTTTTAATGCTGTGTTAATGCCAGGTGTACTACACAGAGATTCAGTTATATATTTCCTTTTTCAGATTCTTTTCCATTTTAAGTTATTCCAAGGTATTGAATATAGTCATTTTGAATTCTTTTTATATTGTTCCTGTCTTTGGCTACAACTCTTAGAGCTGTTTATTTTAAAATAATTCTGTTTACGACCAGAGATAGGGCTCTCCCTCTGTCTCAGAGCTTTACATCTGCTTTTGTGGTCACGACACCAAATTCTTGTTTAATGAGTTTCCAGTTTTTTGTTCTTTCGTTCGTTCTTTTTTTTTACGCTTTTTACTGTTGTGTTTATAATTCTATATTTAGCTTTTTTCACTTAACATACTTTATCATAGTCTGTTTTCCATATTGAATAATTCCAATTTTACCACCAATTCCTGTCTGTGTCAGAATTTAAAATGTATTCTTTATTATAGAGATACAGGTTTTTCTTTATTACAGGAAAAACAGTATAGATAAGCAAAAGGAGAATCTGAAAAACCATCTATATCTGGAGACGATCACATCTTAGTGCATGTCCAAAGCAGAGCTCTTCCTGTGCGTTCATTGATTTATACATAGGGAAAAGAAAAAGATACTGTTTCTCTCCCCCCGCCCCTTCTCTGTACCTGCCTATCTCTCTGCAGAAAAGTATGGTGACATATCTCAGGGCTGTGCTTTGTCACAGTCCTCATGGTTACACAGTGGTCTGCTGTATGGCAGATCACACCACAGTTTAACGTCTTTTGTTGACATAGGAGTCTGTAGTTTATCTTTCTTATAGAAGCACGTTAGTATTTGGATGCTCATTGTCTTTTATCACTTTTTATCCTGATTTAACTTCAGGTGTGTAGAGAAGTTACTAGTACAAAGAACTCCTGACCAGATTCACCAGTTCTGAACCTTTTGTGACATTCTCCAGCTCTGTATGCATATTGCTTTTATTTCTAAGCTATTAGTAGAGTGGGTTGCATGCCTCATGCCCTTTGTTTCTTAATGTTTCAATATGCAATTCTGAAGAGCAAGTGCACTTACCAAATGTAGGAAATTTAGCATTGTGTGTGTGTGTAACATTTTAAACTTTGACCTGTAGTCAGCTTTCTAATTTTGTCAGTGGTCTTAATATTGTTTCTTATAGCAATTTTTCTTATACAAGTTCTGACCTAGGGTCAGACATTGCATGTAGTTGTCACTTTCTTTGGTTAATATCTTTTAGTATAGAGTCTCAGCCTTTTATGCCATTGCCACTTTTTTTTTTTTAAGAAAACTGGCCATTTATTTTATAGAATGTTTCTCAGTTTGAGTTTGTCCATTTCCTCATGAGTAGATTCAAGATAAGCGTATTTGGTTAGTATACCACGTTGGTGCGTATGTCCATCTCAGGGTATTACCTTTTGGTAAAAGTAATTTTGATCACTTGATGTATGGTGTTGTCCAGCTTTCCTACTGTATATTTAGAATATTTCCTTTTATAATTAATAGCCACTTTGTGAGGAGATACTTTAAAATGGTGTAAACATTCTCTTGTCTTTAGCACTCCCTGTAGATTTAATAATCACTGACAATTTTTGCCTGAATCAATTTTTCCTAGAGTGTTGCAAAATGGGAATCTAAGTCCTAGATGTGCTTATTGCTACAGAGCTCTGGACACAGATAAGACAGCAGAACGGCCGTAACGTGGTAGCAGCTTGTCCTGAACCACAGTGACTTGTCCTGAATATCATCTTTCAGCTAGGGAGGAAAATAACATTAGCATGTTTAATCTGGACAGCGAGTTTTTGTTGATACCTCCAAGTTCAGTCCAATTCAAGCTGTCGTCTTTGCCTTCACCAATTCCATATTTTCATCTCCATGTCTTCTATAGGTAGACGCTAAGTCCCCAAAAGACGAGTAAACTGTTCTCATTTTCACTTCTGCAACACATAAAACAATTTAAGAATTTTATACCATACTACTGTGAAAAGCAAATATGTAATAAGAGTTCAAGATTGGTTTGCAGTACCTTTTTCCTTTGGTCTAATAGCATACAGTTCCTTGGATTTTGTCCCCCTTTGCCCCCTTGTGGCTGTGTTATTTGGAAGACAGTTCAGTTCATTTATGTTCACATTAACTTTGTTTCCCCCCATTCTCATTTATTTATGTATTATCTTGTTGGGTTCAGTTTTCAGAAGATCTCTTTATTTTTGAATTCTGGTAATCAGTCATTTCAGGCATTACCATAGCAGTAAACAAAAGAAAGGTTGGACTTTGATGCTAGATAGACCAGTTAGCTAGATAGTTGGCAAGTTACTTAACTATGTGGA